ACGCGGCATCATGATAAATGGAGAAAGGATTGTAGTTGTCAAAGACTTCATATTACTTGGTTTTGAAGTTAACACCAGTGGAAGCAGTGGTCAGGACACCAGACGTCACATTGGGCACATCTACTGCAGGGGACCTTTTTCAAGTGCTGCAGAGCAAAGATGTTTCCTTGAAGACTAAGGTGGCCTTGATGCAAGCCATGGTATTTTCAGTTGCCTCATATTCATGTGAGAGCTGGACAGTGAAAAAGGAAGACCAGAGAAGAAATTGATGCTTTTGAGTTGTGGTGCTGGCGAAGAATGCTGAAAGTACCATGGACTGCTAAAAGAACTGACAGATCTGTCCTGGAAGAGGTACAGCCAGAATGCTCCTTGGAAGCAAGAATGGCCAGACTTCGTCTCACCTACTTTGGTCATCTTGTCTGCAGGGACCATTCCCTGGAGAAGGATGTCATGCTTGGTAAAATGGAGGAACAGTGAAAAAGGGGAAGGTCCTCAACGAGATGGACTGACACAGTGGCTGCAGCGATGGGCTCAGGTACAGCAGGGATCGTGAGGCTGGCATGGGACCGGGCAGGGCAGTGTTTTGTTCTGCTCTCCATGTGGTCTCTATGAGTCAGAGCAACTTGGTGGCACCTAATACCAACATTGAATGGATTTTGGCCCTTTGTCAGAAATCAGCTCTCCGTAGGTCGATGGATCTGTTTGTGGGTTCTCGGTTCTGTTCCACTGGTCTGTCTGTCTGTCATTCGTTGTACCAGTACCAGGCTGTTTTGACTGCTGTGCCTATATATGGTAGGTTTGGAGATCCAGGAGTGTGAGACTTCCTGCTTTGTTCTTCTTCGGTAGTGCTTTGCTTATCCGAGGTCTCTTTCCTTTCCGTATGAAGTTAGTGACTGGTTTTTCCCTGTCTTTCCATCAACAGAATGTTGATGGAATCTGGATCAGGATTGCATTGAATGTATAGATTGCTTTCAGTAGAATAGACATTTTCACAACGTTCAACCTTCCTATCCAAGAGCATGGTATGTTCTTCCATTTATGTAGATCCCTTATGGCTTCTTGAAGTAGTGTTTTGTAGTTTTCTTTGTACAGGTCTTTTGTGTCCCTGGTAAGATTTATTCCCAAGTGTTTTGGGTTTTTTTTGGTAGTTATATTAAATTGTATTAATTTATCTTTTCTTTTTCAACAGTCTCTTTACTGGAGGAATCCAATTGACTTTTGATGTTGATCTTGCATCCTGCAACTGTGCTAAATCTCTGCATTAGTTCCAGTGGTTTTATTGCTGAGTCTCTTGGGTTTTCTAGGTGTAGGATCATATCAGCACATAGGGCTAGTTTGACTTCTTTCTTACCAATTTGGATGCCTTTGATTTCCCTTTCTTGCCTTATTGCCCTGGCTAAGACTTCCAGTACAGTGTTGAATAGATGGTGGTAGAGGGCATCCTTGTCTGGTTCCTGTTCACAAGGGGAATGGTTTCAGTATCTCTCCATTGAGAACAATATTGGCTGGTGGTTTGGCATAGATGCCCTTTATTATGTTGAGGACTGTCCTTTCTATTCCTGTTTTGCTGACAGTTTTGATCAGGAATGGGTGTTGGATTTCATCAAATGGCTTTTCTGCATCTATTGATAGGATCATGTGGTTCTTTTCCTTTGTTTTACTTATGTGATGGATGACGTCCCATGTTTTTCTAACGTTGAACCATCCTTGCATACCTGGTATAAACCCCACTTGGTCATGATGTTTGTTTTGTTTTTTTGGTATATTGTTGGAGTCTATTGGCTAGGATGCTGTTGAAGATTTTTGCATCTATATTCATGAGGGATATTGGTCTGTAGTTTCCTTTTTAGTGGTTGATGTCTTTGCCGGGTTTTGGTATCAAGGTTATGCTTGCTTCATGAAATGAATTTGGCAAGACTAGGTTAGGGTTAGGGTTAGGGTTAGGGTTAGAGTTAGGGAAACCCAAGGAGGGGTCGCTATGAGTCGGGGCCGACTCGACGGCAAATAACAACAACAACAAGAAAGGTTAGGGCTGGGCATGGTAAATGGGGAGTGAAACTAAATGTACACATAATGTTGAATGTAAAACAAACTCTTAAAAATAAAAAATCAAAAAAATAAAATGAATTGGGGAGGATTCCATCCTTTTCTGTGTTTTGGAAGAGTTTGAGTAGGATTGGTGTTAGATCTTCTCTGAATGATTGGTAGAACTCTCCAGTGAAACCTTCTGGGCCAGGATTTTTGTTCTTGTTGGTAATTTTTTTATGGCCTGTTCAATTTCTTCTTTATGGTTTCAGTTTCTGTTAGGGGTCTGTTCCACTTTTGTACCTCAGTCTGTGGTAGTTTAGGTAAGTAGTGTGTTTCTGAAAATCTGTCTGTTTCTTCTAGGTTTTCAAATTTGTTGCAGCACAGTTCTTCATGGGACCCTGATACTATTCTCTTTATCTCGGTTAGTTCTCTGTGGCTCCACCCATTTCATTTCTTATTCGTGTTGTTTGCACTTCTCCTTCTTTTCTTTTGCTAAGTTCTAGTGATTTGTCGATTTTATTAATCTTTTCAAAGAACCAACTTCTAGTGTTACTGTTTTTTTCTGTTGTCTTTCTGTTTCGTTTATTGCTGCTCGAATCTTTATTATTTCTTTTCTTCTGGTGACTGTAAGGAGCTCTGGTGGCATAGTGCCTAAGGCATTTGCCAGTCAGTGGCAACCAGAAGGTTGGTGGTTCAAACCCACCAACTGTTCCCTGGAAGGAAGATGGGGCAGTCCACTTCCATAGAGATTTACTGCCTCAGAAACATAGTGGGGGTGGCTATGAGTTGAAAGCAACTTGATGGCAGTGAGTTTGGTTTGGGTTGGCATTTTTTGTTGGAGATGTTAGGCTTAAGGTGTTGAGTTTGGCTCTTTCTTCTTGGTTGATATGCTCATCTGTTGCTAGAAATTGCTCTCTAATCCCTGGGGACTCAGACACTCTGGACCCACTGGAGAGTCTTGATCTGTTGGATAATTTAGACCCCACTAGAGCAACTCAACCCATTGGACAGCCTAGACCCTTCAGACATTCTAGATCCAGTGGATATTTTAGGCCCCTTGCACATTCTAGACACAGTGCACCCACACAGACTAGACCCCATCAGTGAGTATGTGTGTGTGTGTGTGTGTGTATGTGTGAGAGAGAGACTCGTAAACACAGCGTCAGGTCTATGCCTCGAGAGCACAGGTGACCCACCTGAGGAGACAGGTGGAGTGATTGACTGTGGTCTTAAAGGAAAGCCGGAAACCAGTGTGGCCGGATCCCTCAGGTTTTACAAAGCTGGTGGTGTTTGTGGTCTTCCCACCGTATCATACTAATAACTGGCTCCATTTTGCTGTATTTCAAAGTGAACATGATCAAAAAATGGCAATACAGGCAATGAATAGAATGCATCCTTTAATGGTGTGTGTGTGTGTGTGTGTGTGTATGTATGTATGTAGGGACCATAGTCCCTGTCATGTTCATTGAAAACTCAATTTATTTGTGTAGATTTTTCTCACATAAATATCAAATATCAGTTGGTTAATTTCATGCAGCTTAGACAGTCAGGGCTGCGGGTCCTTGATTTGGAGAAGAAACGGCCGTGACGTGAGGCATTGGTGCCTGCAAACTTCAGAAGGAGAGAGGGTGATTCAGACGAGTCCACAAGAGCCAGTCAGTGGCCTCCTGGGCTACAGATTCCCTCACCGTCCAGACAGCTGGCCCAGCCACCTGCCATGCCAGCGGCAAGCTGGGGGCCAGGGCTGGTTTCTCTCTGTGCACCTGGGGGTGGGAAGACAGCATTAGGAGAGGCTGCACGGTCAGGTTATAATCCAGGAGCTCAGGTGACATCGGGGAAGGGGGGCACAGGGCCTCTGTCAGGGTGCGGCTCTGCTTCTCGGGCTGTCTGAGCCCCCCTGCAGGTGTGAGGGTGACATTTCAGCCAAGGCTGCGGGGGACAGGGCACTCAGTGCCCCAGGGCCCCACCCAGCCACTTCATCAAACAATGCTGGTGCCTGGGACCCAGGCCTCCAGCAATCTGGTGACTGAAGCTAGCTTGGGACCTGCTCCAAGTAGGGCCACTTGCCTGTGGGTGTCTGGTCAGGTCTGTGGGACACGGTTTCTGCTGAGATGGGATGGGAGCAGGCGGCCTCCACGGAGTTCTGCCAGCATGCATGGAAGGTGCCGTGTGAGACAGGTGGTCTTGGTGGTCGTACTGCCTGCGGACACTGAAGTACTCTTTGGACAGTGAAGCCATTGGGCAGGAAGAGAGCCCTCGAGAGGCTCGTGCCAGCGTCCCTCATACCCATTTGGTAGGACTCAACAGCCTGGAGCTTGGTTTCACTTGTTTGCAGTCAGGGTGGGACAGTTTTGGGGGTCACAGGGCGTGGCAGCTTCATGGAGCATGGATGCAGAGCTGGGGAACACGCTGTGTGGGCGCCTGGACACACTTTTGTGGCTGTAGTCTCGTAAACTTGTTTTCCAAGAGGGCGCTCAGTTCACCGTGGGAACAGGCTTCCTGTCTGTGGTCTTTCCCCACCTTAGGCTGTCTGGCCCCCTTCGTGGTGCACACGCTCCTGGGGTGACGTACACGGCTCTCAGTGGCTTTGTTAGAAGGGAGGAAACGGCAGCCTGCTCTGCTCTCTGCGTCCTGGGCTTGAGCTCTCTCCTCTCTCCTCAGCACCTGGAAGCTTGTTCTTATCTTGTCCTTTGTTGGCTTTCAAAGGCCTGCAGCCTCCTCCTGGAGAGAGCAGGGCTCTAGGCGCAGGGGGTTCTGTGAGTGTCTTTTCTGCTGTGATGTCCCTGATTTCAGTCGTTTTGCCCTTGAGAAAGGAGCCCTTGGTGACATCGGAGCCCTGCATTGTGAACACAGAGGCAGAGAGGCATCTGGCAACGAGGGGCCCTCCGGAGGGTGGGCGCAGCCTCGCGGGGAGCAGGGTGTCCGGGCCACGTGCCCGGCGGTGACGGCAGCGTGCTCTGCTCTCTCCACAGTGGACGTGACTGCGGCCCTGCCCCTGCAGGTGGCCCCTGCGGCAGTGCCCATGGACCTGCGCCTGGACGCACAGTTCCCGCTGCCCGTGGCCGAGCCGGCCCTGCGGGAGCAGCAGCTGCAGCAGGAGCTCCTGGCGCTGAAGCAGAAGCAGCAGATCCAGCGGCAGATCCTCATCGCCGAGTTCCAGCGGCAGCATGAGCAGCTGTCCCGGCAGCACGAGGCGCAGCTGCACG